AATAGGGGGTCAACAACTTGAGAGTGAGTGGCGTACACATGGGAGGAGCAGAAGTAAGGAGATGGAAGGCTGGAAATGACGTCATAGTACACATGTACGACATTTTGAAAAAAGATTTTAAAAGTTTTGTGCTTTCACCTCTGAGGTCAGAAACACAGCCCTCAGAGAACAGAAAACTATCACCAGTAGTTTGAAGTGAGCTCTGTTTAGCCCCCCTTGCCTTTTGTAGCCTGTACACAGAACAAACGTACAGATGCTAGAATGTGGCTGAGGGCTGGGAATAGATAGCCTTAGTTGCATAAGTAAATTCAATAAAATTAATCACTCAAGACTCCCCCATTAGAAGTCGCCAAGCTTCAGGAGTCTGCAGGTTTCTAAAATAGTTAGTAGACAGTCTTCCAAGACAATCACTGCCCAGGCAAAGCCTTCTCAAATTGCTGTTCAAAGTTACTTTGCTACTGATCGTCTTTGCTTCTGCATTAAATTTATTAATTTGGCCTTATTTATGTAGGTAAGACTTTTTACTTGGTGAATTAAAAATTTATTAGCTCGGCATGCGGTGTCTTCTCAGCATGGAATGGTAATGAGAAGATCAGCTTTTCAAATTAGAACTGAAGGGCAGGCAAATACTGGCCAGTAACAAACACCAGGGCATTTCCATCCTTGAGTTAGTATCCAGTTATGTTCTTTATGTCAGATCCTCAGGTATAATGAGATATGGAGACATCTGGGGACATAGTCTTACCCATATACATACTAAGATTTCTGTCCTGTTCTCTTTCGTTTGTCCTGGCTGATCGCTTTGCTCCAAAAGATGTGCAGACATTTTCCTTTAAGTTGTATTTGGGGAATTCTCATTGTGTCTAGGCCTCTTCATCAGCTGCATAGTGTTTTTATGATTCTAGAGTCCCTCGCTCTGGGGGTACTTAGATAGAATACTTTGTTATCTTTGACCCTTTATCCAGATGAGAGAGTTCAAGCTGCCCTTCTGTTGTGAGGTTGTTTTGGATAGATATGTTGTTTTGAATAGTTTATTCTACTCTAGGGTCTAGGTCTTATTTAACACTGTCTTATTTAATTTTCAGGTTAGGATTTGGGAATTTCTACCTGGGACCCCAGGACAGGGAATCCTGTCAGAACTCTATGGCTTATTCTTGGGATGTATTGTTTATAATTAGGGAACCAGATGCTGGATTTTAGATAATCAGATTCCTTCTAAATCCCCTTTAAGTTCTAGGAGAGTCAGAGATATTGTCAGGGATAGCATGCTGGATGTACTGTACCCACAAAGACCGCATTCTCAGTTAATATGCCTCTCAGACAACCTGCTGGTAATAGGGTTGGGGAAGCAACAACCTTGTGAGAGATTAAGGTGGGGTGATGATTTCGGAGTTAGCGGAATTGAGAGAGGGATGGGGTCAAAGCCAAAAGCTACAACGACAGAAGTTAAAAATTACAGGGCAAAGCTCAAGGTGAGAAGCAGTGGTGTGTCCAACTAGACAGAGAAGAGCCCGCATAGCATTGCAGATTTCAACCAGCGGAGAGCTCAGGATCCTGACAAGCTCTCAGGGAGCTGAATCCCTCAGACAATATCCTGAAGGTCTAACTTCAGCTTCACACATATCAACTGGCCTTCAAGTCCCTTTAGAAGTTGAGTTTTTAAAGAGATAGTGTGGTGATATTGTGTTCCCCAATATATCGTGCACCCTAATAAATTTATCTGGGGTCAGAGAACAGAACAGCCACTAGATATAGAGGTCAGAAAATGGTGGCATCACACCTTTAATCCTAGCCTTCTGGAGGCAGAGATCTGTCTGGATCTCTGTGAGTTCAAGGCCACACTGGAAACAGCCAGGCATGGTGACACACACCTTTAATCCCAGGAAGTGATAGCAGAAAGCAGAAAGGTATTTAAGGCATGAGGACCAGGAACTAGAGCTGGTTAAGCTTTTAGGCTTTTGAGCAGCAGTTCAGCTGTGATCCATTTGGATGAGGACTCAGAAGCTTCCAGTCTGAGGAAACAGTATTAGGTGAGGAATTGGCAAGGTGAGGTGGCTGTGGTTTATTCTGCTTCTCTGATCTTCCAGCATTCACCCCAATACCTGACTCCAGGTTTGTTTTTATTAATAAGAACTTTTAAGATTCATTCTACAAGATAGGTCTTTTCTGAACAGCATTTATTTGGGGGGTGGAGGTAGAGGGTAAGATATAGGTGTTACTTCAACAGAAAGTTTTGTTGTCTGGCACTTTCTGTGCACAGAAAATCAAGAGAAATAAATCAAGATATTCCATGTTTTGGTGAGATGATCTATCCTATTCAATAGCAGTCCATGTTGCAGGGACCTCTTCCTTTGTTTGGAGTCGAACACTCAGCCCAGACCATCACTCCGACAGTGCACAATTCCTCAATTAAGCACTTGTTATGTAGGCATGGAATTAAAGGCCCCACATAGGACTTCCTTGCCGCTCCTTGCACTCTCTAGACTTGGGAAAATTAAATTTGTCTCAATACTTTAATAAGTTTCAACAAAAGAACTTCAGCAGAGAGGGCTGAGGCATGCCTAGAGGAAATGCCTATGATTCATCGCAGTGAGACACATTAGAGATGTGCCTGATGCCTAGAGCAGTGGGTGGTCTTGCAGAGGAAGGTAACTGAGACATGGGGGCTCCTGAGAGGTGGTCTGGGACAAGACAGGTATTTTTGATCTCTTAAATATTTAGAAAATAGTCAAAACCACCTTGAGCCAGTTTATATAGCCTCAGTGTTGTTTGCATACCTGTAGTCCCTGTCAGTTCTTCAAATTCAGAATAGGGAAGGTTCATGACAGTCTCGCCTGCAAGGTAGGTAGATTTTGCTTACAAATGAGTGTTTGCAAGTTCTTGGTACTCTGCCCAAGATGCTACCAACCATCTATGAAGGGTTGCCCTCTTTTAAGAAAGCTGTAAGTGCATGATGCTTCAGGGTTAAGTCACCCACAGCTGTAGATGTAATTCAGTGTAGATATAGCCAATGGTTTTATCAGACAAGAACACAGAACCGATTCAGAGAAGAAAGCCAAGAGGTCAGAGCCAAGAGCCTCACCCTTCCTGATTCAGGGATCCTCCTCAGCCAAAAGAGCTCTCCGAAAGAGAGAGCCCTACTTCCTGTGTGTCTGTCTCTATAGTCTCTTTGTTCTGCCTTCTCATTGGTTGTAAACCCAATCTTGTGACTGCCTCGTCACTGCCTGTATGTACCGCCCTCCAGGTCCTTAAAGGCGTACGCCACCACCGCCACGCACTTGCTATGGCTCTAATAGCTCTGACCCCCGGGCAACTTTATTTATTAACATAAAATACCACCACAGTAGTCCCTGTCAGTTCTTCAAATTCAGAATAGGGAAGGTTCTTGACAGTCTCGCCTGCAAGGTAGGTAGATTTTGCTTACAAATGAGTGTTTGCAAGTTCTTGGTACTCTGCCCAAGATGCTACCAGCCATCTATGAAGGGTTGCCCTCTTTTAAGAAAGCTGTAAGTGCATGACGCTTCAGGGTTAAGTCACCCACAGCAGAGACTACTGCAAAGAAACAAAAGCATATTCAAATCTAATTGGAGGAGTAGCAGTGAGAGAGAAACCAGGGAGCAAAAGCAATGGACACATCTGAATATGTCCCCTTTCTGTTTTCTCTTGGGGGACTGACACTTCGTTATCTCCCCCAAAATTAATTTGTCTAAATTTGTCTTATACAATGCGGGTGGATATAATACCCCCTTTGCAGTTAATCACCTGGAAATGTCTCTGTCTTTTCGGAATTGTTTCTTCTTGGAACCAGTTGCCTGTGTGCAAATGTATAGATAAAGATGAAGAATACAGGTTTCTCCTCTTGCCTATGGGCAAGTGGGGACTTCAAACCCGCGGGCTGGGAGACTCAGAGATCCAGCCGTGGCTTATTTGGCAGGGATGTAATTATAGTGCATTAAGAAATACAAAAGCTCCAGGACTGGATAAGTACCAGAAGCCTCGCTTGCCTTTTATTATCTAGGTTTCCAAGGTGATGGGAGTGTAGGAAGAATTAGGAAGAGACTGGGAGAGAAAAATGTAATATTGTGGCTAATCATCTTTATAAAACTTTTTTTTCAGGACATCATCTGACTTTTTGCGTGTCAGGAAATTCCCAGGCTCGACTGACGTTTCTTAAATTGTGCTAATGCTTTAGAAAATTGAAGAATCTGAAGCTGCTGCAGAGGGAAATCTGGAATCTATAACAAAATAGTTTAATAATGGACCACTTGAGGGGTACATATTTAACAGGTTTGTATCTCTGATTCCAGCACTGGCTGGGGATACAGGAGAAGAGGAAGGTGATATAGACAATTACTAAGAAATAGATGCAAATAATCATAAGGCAAGACTTTATTTTTGTATGTATTTATTTATATTTATGCGATTTTTTTATAGCTATTATGCCATATACCCCTATTAGCCAAGAACTTGTCATATTGACTAGGCTGGCCTCAGAGTCATAGACTTCCTCTTCCCTCTGCCTCTTGAATTTTGGGATTATAGGCATATACTCCCATGCCCAACTGAGGCAACGGATTTTTAAAAATACATATAATTGGGCATTTTTCTTCTTTGGAACCCCAAAGCTAGCATTTTCCTGCTTCTATCAAGAACCAGGAAAGATTATCAATTCCTCCAAATGAATTTTAAAAATGATAAATGATGTGCTAGAGAACATGAGTGGAAGGAAAAACCAAGAACTTGAATTTGTTAAACGTGTTTAAATGCATGTGGTAGCCAAGAAAACAGTTATGTCTTTGAAAGTCCATCATCCTTAAAGTCTCCAAAGCATGGGACTGGAGGGATGGCTCAGTGGTTGGAAGTACATACTGCTCTTTTCAAGGTGTGAGTTCAGTTCCCAGCACCAGCATGAGGTGGCTCACGACTGCCTGTCACTCCAACTCCAGGGTACCTGATGCCTTCTCTGGTCTCCTCATGTCCCCTCCCACACACAGGTATGCATATAAAAACGTAAAGCAATCTTTAAACAATTCTTAAGTCTTTGCAGAGGGTAATCAGTCAATCCTCCACCAATGTATATTTTGTTTTTCCTCATTTTTATTGATTAAATTTGTTCTTTGAAAGTTTTGCACATGCATATAGTACATTCTGTTTGCTGTGGTTGATATATTGTACACCCCAATAAATTTATCTGGGGTCAGAGAACAGAACCGCCACTAGACAGACATAGAGGCCAGAAAATGGTGGCATACACACCTTTAATCCTAGCCTTCTGGAGGCAGAGATCCATCCGGATCTCTGTGAGTTTAAAGCCACACTGGAAACAGTCAGGCATGGTGACTCTTGCCTTTAATCCCACAAAGTGAGCCTTTAATCCCAGAAAGTGAGGGCAGAAAGCAGAAAGGTATATGAGGCGTGAAAACCAGGAACTAGCTGGTTAAGCCTTTAGACTTTTAGCAGTAGTTCAGCTGGGATTCATTCTGGATGAGGACTCAGAGACATCCAGTCTGAGGAAACAGGATCAGCTGAGGAACTGGCAAGGTGAGGTGGCTGTGGCTTGTTCTGCTTCTCTGATCTTCCAGCATTCATCCCAATACCTGGGTCCGGGTTTGTTTTTATTGATAAGAACTTTTAAGATTCGTGCTATAGTTCGCTCTCACTCATACTTGGTTTTCACCACCCCCCCCTACTCCTGCCGTCCCTGCCCCTCCCCTACAGATACTGTATTTTCTAATGCAAGGAAATAGCGAGTCACCTAGCAAAGCAAAGGTAGTAGAGAAAAAGTAATTCTCCTTCCCCAGTTAGTATGCAGAGACTCAACACTGTAATCATGAAGAAGGAAGTGTGGGTGACTGAATTCTATGTTGTACACTTGCTTATTCGTGTGACTCTACTATCCCTATATACACATATGCCCACCCAGAATTTTTCTCTGTTAATGCATTCCACGTTGCTCCTATCACTAAGAGTTTTTTCTTAAGTTGAAACACTGTCCACCAAGGAAAACACAAACTCTTCTGATCCAAATAGAACCATCAGAAAACTTTCTATTGCTCAAAAGCATGGTTCGCTCCTTATAAATGCCCTTCAGACAGAGACATCATGACAATCAATGAGCTTATACCCAGACATAAAGCCAAAATTCCTTGAACAGTCATGCCATTCACAGTGCGTGAGATGACACATGGTCTGTGGGCTGTAGGGTGTGGGGTTTACACTACTCCTTGTGTCGCAGACATTTCTGTACACTCTGTCCTACTGAAGTGTGCTCCTTGGATAGGATAGGAAAGCAGGGCCAAATGCAATAGTTTATGCTTCAAGTCATACATTGAAAAGGATTTCTTGTGTTTTCATCCGGTAGATCAGTCCCATATCAAAGCAACTTCTGGAACAAGGTACATGAATTTAAGTTTATTTTGAGTGCCCATTTGTTGGAAAGTACGTTGGGTACAACTGAAATTCAATCAAGACTCACTTTGTACTTCAAAAATCTTGGGTGTAGAAGAATATAATTGTATACAGATCTAAAACAGCTGTGCCAGTTTTTACTTATCTCAGTGTGTTTTATGAGGGGAGACTTTGTGACCTTGAATACTGTCCTTTCCTAAATAAGCAGTAAGTCCAGATAGTGCCAGCTACTGAAAATGGAATCTTATTGTTGCTCCTCTGCTCAGGTCTAAGCATCTGAGCCGGCACCATTGGAGCCGTACATTTACTTCTCAGATGCCTAAACAAGAATGACAGGTCTAATTTTATTATCCTTACCCTAGCAAAATGCCCACTGTCATCTGTAAGGACAATATGATCAAGTCTCTTGGCTTAAGAATGCATTTCCTCAGCTGCAATGTCCCTGAGGCTTCTAAATAAAATGGAAATTCAAACTTTACTTTCAGAAAAAAAAAATCACTATGCTGCATTTCTAAAAATAAGCTTTGTTCTGAAAAAGCTTTCTGTAATGCTAGAAGGAGACATTCTAGCTGATACCCATAGACAGTGCCAATAGTCTACCTTAATTGATACGCAGTCAACAGTTTGGTACTGAAGTCTAGTTATGGGTACAATAAAGGTAAGGGGTGGATGATCTGCAGCCCATGAGGAGGAACAGAGCCACTGTTATTGAAGGCCCATGGAGTCACAGGGTAATACTCAGATGCCTTCCAGGCCCAGATTAGCAATGCACATTTGTAAAGCAGCAAGGATGTGCTTTAGGAAGTTTGGGGGCTCTACCATATTAAATGCACATATCTGGAGTGAGCATTGACTCATCACTAGTCTGTGATTCTGTTTCAACTCCAGAGAGGGAAAGGGGCTCACTGATAGTATTATTTCCTTTTCCAAAGAACTGAGAGCTGAAAAGACTTGATGACCCACTGAGCACTAACCCTGCAGTTCAGTAAGGAAGCCCGGATAGGTCTTCCGTTGTAGTCTTTCTGGTGGACTCTCACTCTTCCTTTCTTCTGAATATCACACACACACACACACACACACACACCACACACACACACACACGTCACATAAACACACCACATACATACACACACATCATACACACACCACACATACACACACCTCACATCACACACATACATCACACACACACACACACACACACACACACACACACACACCACATACACACACCACATACATACACACACATCATACACACACCACACATACACACACCTCACATCACACACATACACACATCATACACACACACACACACACACACACACACACACACACCACATACACAAGCCCTAAATCACACATATACACACATCACATATCATACACGCACATCACACGTATACACACCCCACATCACATAAATACACAGCACACCAAACACAAACACACACTACACACTCTCAAACAGGCACATACCATACTATACATATACACACATCACATAATACATGCAATCTCACTGCACACATAAACACATACCCCACAATACACACTGCATACACATCACATGACTATATACACTACACACACACACCACCACCACCACCACTACCACCACCAAAACACAGGAACACACATTCCTTTGGGAAGAGAAGAGAATTCCTACATAACCTTGAGAGGTTGCTTCTCCTAGCTGAACCTGGTTTTTGTTTGTTTGTTTATTTGTTTTTATTAGTAAAACAGGAATAATGATGATAGCCTACATTACCACCCTAGCAGGATACATGCAAAGATATCACTGTTACATGAGAAAAACCTTGTGGAAAGTATGATTATTCTATGTAAAAATTACTTATAAAACAATTGTGAAAGTACAAAGATGATTTCTCAAAATCAACTAAATTTTAATTTTAATTGACCTCCTTTTCAACCAGTTACTTGCTTTTGGCAATACACCATGAAGTTGTATTTTCACAGAGCATATAAAAGGCTGGCAGGATGGCTTGGTTACTGAAGGAGCTGGCTGCCAAGACTGAGGACTGAATTCAGTCCCTGGGACCCACATGGTGGAAGGAGGAAATTGAGAGTATCAAGCTTTTTTCTGACCTACACACACACACCACAGCACAGGCACACACACACACACACACACACACACACACACACACACACACACACACACATTCTCTACACATATGTACACACCTACAAAAGACAAATAAATAAATGTAATTGAAAGTTGAATCATCGTATCTAAGAAGTCACGTGTAAAAGGCAAAACTTTTTTTTAGTCTAAGAACTCTCCCAGTGTGTGGTGGACAGTTAAGGAAACAAGGAGCTGTTTCTCCTATGCTCTCTGCCTTGAGGCCACCCAAGGGTGAGATGTGCCGAAGTCATCTATCAGGAAAAAAAAGAGAACCATGTTCCTCTTTGCCTAGGGAAATCTTGTTAAAATATTCTGGCAAAACGCTTTTGTTTTCGGAGACAGGTGTGTTGCTGTGTAGCCTTGGATAGCCTCTACCTGTCTGTGTCAACCAGGCTGCCTCAAGCTTGCAGCAATCCTCCTGCCTCTGTCTCCCAAGTGCTGGGATTACAGGAATGCGTCAGTACTCTAGGCTATTGGCCTGCCAAAAGGCACACACATACACACACACACACACACACACACACACACACACACACACACACACGCACGCACACACGCACGCACACACACACCTAAATTGGAGGAATTCAATTTTAACTTACCAGAAACCACAATTTTTCAAAGCTGATATTTCACAAATCATAAAGTCCTAATTGAAGAATATTTCAGGGACAAAGAAAATATCGTAGTGGAGGGATGTACACAATTTTCTACTTTAAGTCCATCAAGAAAATATGATTTTTGTATCATTGACAGAATGTTTCCATCATGTCACCAAAAGATTGGCTATTGTGGAGGGAATAGAACCACTCTGTCCTAATTGAGACATTTGAAAATAATATCACTTTCACCTCCTGGAACTCTGATAGCCTAGCTCCTTGGGTGGAAATCATTTCTCCTTGCATTAGGGCCAAGAGAAGAAAGTTCTCTGAAATGTCTTATATTCTGTATTGCTGCAACCACAACACATACATAGATCAGGGTTGACTAGCTGAGGTCTTGGGAATGCCTCACAACAATGCCACACACACAGCCTGAAAAGTGACTTGAAAACTGAGGCTCGCTTTGTGGCAGCTGTGCCATTTAATGCCAGCCAGGGGCCAAACATGTTTGCAATGATAGCTTTATTTATGTGCTTAATAAATATTTATTAAGCATCACGATGTATAAAATCTAGGGATGCTTTGCAAAATCCCTCTACCAGTAAAACAAGTACAAGGACATTAGCAGATAATTAGGCTAACAGATGGTGACAGGTGCTATGCAGGAGACATAATGAAATAACTGAGGCACTGCTTTAACATGGGGACCAGTGTAGCCAGAAAAGGCCTCTTTTTTTTTCTACCTTTTTTCCCTCCATCCAAACCCTCATATACCTCTTCCCATTCTCCTTCAAATTCATGGCCTCTTTTTCCACTGTTTGTGTGTGTGTGTGTGTGTGTGTGTGTGTGTGTGTGTGTGCACATATATATTCCTAAATTTAACCTGTTTGATCTTTTTAATATTAGTTGTATGTGTGTTTTCAGGGCTGACCATTTGCTATTGGATAACTCATTGGTGTGCTCTTCCCTGGTGAGGACCACCTCTCCTGATCCCAGCTTTCAGTTGCCTGTAATTCTTTGTGTGCAGTTGAGGCCTTGTGGGATTTTTCCCTTCCACTTTGGCATGCCCATTATTGTTGTCTTTTTTAAGCTCACGTTGGCCAGTCGTTGGTGAGATTTTTACGGGTGTAGCTTCTGCTGTTTCTAGGAGACACAGAGTCACAGCAAACCCCCTGATCCTCTGCCTCCTACAGCCTTTCTGTCTCCTCTTCTGCAATGTTCTCTGAGCCTTAGATGTGGAAGTGTTTTGAGAGATACATCTAATGAGACTGGGCTCCACAACTCTATGTTTTGATTGGTTGTGGTTTTTCTGTAGTTGTCTACATCTACTGTAAATAGAAATTTCCTTGACGAGGGGCGAAGACTACACTTATATGTGGGTATAAGTACAAATGTTTATAGATTTTTGTTGGAGATTATGCTGGTTTAGTGAGTCAGTGGTTGTAGATTCTCCAGTGAACTTCACTAGCACTGAGTATTTAGCTAGGGATCTAGCACCAGGCATGTTTTCCCACTTGTTGAGCATATCTCAAGCCCAAATAGAGAGATGATGGTTGCTATGATGGTTACTACCAAGGTATCTATTCCACTACTGCACCCTTTGGATTAGCTGCCACACTCATTGTTGATACAGTTCACGGGTATCATAGCTGGCTAAGACTTTTGGTTTCTTCCCACCTTTGGAAGCTTGCATGGCTCCTTCTGATACTATAAAAGCTACTCCTCTGGAAGGGGGGCATTCAGGTCAGTTACAGCTCTGGGGTCTCTGAGTTTTGTTTCTGAAGTTCATGGTATCTTCAGCAGTAGGGACGTATTTTCGACCTCTGGCAGGTCACAAAGGCCAACAGCAATAGGCTGTATGCCTTGGGAGTCTTTGGGGGCAGTCCTGAACAGCAACTTAAAAGAGGGCTTCTCATGCCTGGTATTAAGGGTTTTGCTAAGTAGTTTTTGGCTCTTGGAGGGAGCACCATCAGCCCAGGGAGAAAAGTTCATTCAAACTATGTATGTATATTGATACATGGAATTATGTGTATTATAGGGATTTTTTAAAGTAAACAGTCAATAGTATGATTCCTTTTGGCTTTTACAGACATCCCTATTGTTATTTTACATAATTATCTCCTTATTCTGTATTTGCCTACCTCCCCCTACCTACAGAGCTCCCCTTTCCTATTTCTCCAATCAGATCACTTTTATCTGCTATTCCCCTTTATCCTCATTCCATCTCCATCTGTATTTACCTCCTTCCCCTTACCAAAGCAACCCCTTTCCCACTTCCCTGATCAGGTCGCTGCAAGTCCCTTCTCTGTTGCTTCCCAAACTCCCGATCCTGGCAGTGGTCCTGCAGCATATTATTTTCTGGGTCTGGGTTATCTCACTCAACACGATCTATTCTAGTTCTATCCATTGACTTCTAAAGTTCATGATTTTGTCTTCCTTTACATCTGAATAGCACTCCGTGGTGCGAACTTACATGTTCATTAAACATTCATCAGTTGAAGAGCATTAAGATTGTATCCATTTCCTAGCTATTGTGAGGAGAGCAACAGTGAACGTGACTGAGCACGTACCTGCAGAGTAGGATGTCCAGTCCTTTGGTCATATGGCAAGGAGGAGTATAGTTGGGTCCTATTACTATTTCTATTTTTAGCTTTTTGAGAATTCTCCACGTTGATTTCCATTGTTGGCTGCAATAGTTCCTAATCCCACCAGTGGTGAATGAGGGCTCTCCCTATCCTCTCCAGCATTTCTTGCTGGCTGTTCCATTGATATTTGCCATTCTCACTGGGGTAAGATAAAATCTCAAAGCTGTTTTGTTTTTCATTTCCCTAACTACTAGGGATGATGAACATTTTTTTTTTAGATAGGTTTTAACCATTTGTTTTTTTTCTTTTGAGAACTACCCATTCAGGTTTGAGGTCAATTTATTTGAATGGGTCATTTATTTCTTTGACTCTTTGTTTTATGAGTTCTTTGTATATTCTGGATATTAAATCTCTATGGGATGTATAGCTGGCAAAGATTCTCTCAGATTCCGTGGGATTCCTCTCCACATAGCTGATTATTATTTATTATTATTTCTATGTGGAAACTTTTTAATTTTATGAAGTCTCACTTGTCAATTATTGGCCTTCATTTTGGAACAAGTAGAGTCCTATTCAGGAAGTATTTTCCTGCACTTCTGTTATTTGGGGTTTGCCTATGTTTTCTTCTAGCAGTTTCAGTTTTCAGGTTTAGGTCTCTGATCCATTTGGAGGTGGGTTTTGTGCAGTGTAATAGATGTGGGTTTAATTTCATTCATTTGCATCTGGATTTCCAGTTTTCCCAGTGTCGTTTGTTGAAGATTTCTTTTTTCTCCCATGCATGTGTTTGGCATCTCTGTCAAATATTAAGTGGATAAAGAAGTTATGCATACTCATGTTTGGGTCTTTGATTTTGTTCCTTTAGACTGTACGTCTGTTTTTGTGCCAAAACCATATTTTTTTAAGTATGGATCTGTGATATAACTTAAGATCTGGAATTGTAATCCCTTTAGTACTGTTCTTTTCACTCAAAGTTGTTTTGGCTATCCACAGTCTTTTGTGGTTCCATATACATTTTAGTATTTCTTTTCCTGTCTCTATGAAGAATGGGATGAGAATTTTGGTTGGGATTGTATTGAACCTGTAAGTGGTTTTTGGTAGAACTGTCATTTTCAAATGTTAATTCTACCAATTCATGAGCATGGGATGTCTTTCCATTTTCTATTGTCTTCTTCTATCTTTCTTCAGAGATTTAAAATTTCAATTGTAGAGGTCCTCTACTTCCTTGTTTGAGTTCACTCCTAGACATTTTATTTTCTTTGAGACTATTGTGTCCATGGTCTCCTAGAGAAGACCCTTCTGGTAAGACAAGATTGAATTGGAAGAAATGATGGAGCTCTCAGAAGCATGTTATGAACAAAAGGAATAATAACTCATACAGCATTAAATATCAGGAGATAGAAGTGGTCTTTCAATGACTGAAGAAAACAGAAGGCCACTGTAAAGGAGGAAATGGTGGCAGACTTTGTTGCATTCGGTTAGGTATTGTAGTTCTTTGAATGTGGTGGTATTGTGTTCCCAAAATATTGTGCACCCTAATAAACTTATCTGGAGTCAAAGAACAGAACAGCCACTAGATACTGAGGCTAGAAAATGGTGGCACTCACACCTTTAATCTTAGCATTCCAGAGGCCGAAATCCCTCTGGATCTCTGTGAGTTCAAGGCCACAGTGGAAACAGCCAGGCATGGTGACACACACCTTTAATCCCAAGAAGTGAGCCTTTAATTCCAGGGAGTGATGGCAGAAAGCAGAAAGGTATATAAGGCGTGAAGACCAGAAACTAGAAGCATTTGGCTGGTTAAGCATTTAGGCTTTGAGCAGCACAGTTCAGCTGTGATTCATTCTGGATGAGGACTGAGAGGCTTCCAGTCTGAGGAAACAGGATCAGCTGAGGAATTGGTGAGGTGAAGTGGCCGTGGCTTGTTCTGCTTCTCTGTTCTTCCAGCATTCACCCAAATACCACGGGTGTGATTTCATTAAGATCCTTTAAGACTCCTACTACATTTGAAGGTTAAAATGGTGGCTATATCTTAATACAAGATGAATAAAAGCCACTACTGCATTCTCTTTAGTTGTTCCTTTTTATTTAGTTGTGTGAGTGTGGTGTGTGTGTGTGTGTGTGTGTGTGTGTGTGTGTGTGTGTGTGTGTGTGTGCTTGTAGGTGCACATACATGGAGGCCAGAGCAGAACATCAGGTGTCCTCCTCTATCACCATTCATCTTATTTCTTTGAGCCAGAGCCTCAATCAAAACCCAGCACTTGCATTTTTGGCTCGGCTGACAGCCAGAAAGCCCCAGCAATCATCTGTCTCTGTCCCCCACAGCACTAGGTTATGGACGTTCATGAGACCACACTTTTATTCCGCTGGAATCCAAGCTCAGGCCCTTATGCACCAAATACTCTTCACTACTGACTCATCTGCTCCCCCCAAATACTACAGCATTTGAAAAGGAGCCCTGTGCTGTAGCTCATACTTGGAAATTAACACTTGGGAAGTCATGTGTGAAATAAACCATAGGGGTCTGTGTAGTGATATTTTATTTGTGCTGAAATGTGATATTTTATTTGTATGTTAACAAATAAAGTTTGCCTGGAGATCAGAGGTCACATAGCCAGCCATAAACAGAAGTCAGGTGGTGGTAGCACATGCCCTTAATCTGATCACATGTCAGGCAGAGTCTCTGTGTGGTCAAGAACACAGCCAAGCATGGTGACACACGCCTTAAATCCCAGTACCAACCATAGAGACCTGGAGGTCTGTACAGACAGGCAGTGACGAGGAAGTGATGTGGCTGGGCTTAGAGCCAATGAGAAGGCAGAACAGCAAGGTAATAAAAACACAGGTTAGACAGGAAGAAGCTCTCTCTGTGGAAACTATGGTGTGGTGGTAAGCTAAGGCTAATCATGGCTATTCGCTATTTCTCTGATCTCTTCGGCTATTACCCCTGTATTTGGCTCTGTATTTCTTATTTAATAAGACTGTTTAGAAATTCATCTACAGGCCTAGGAATGTGAGTATACAGGTGAGGTAATAGGTTCTGTCAGCAATCTGTTAGATGATAGTGGTGGTCTGAACTAGGCTGGAAAGGAGCAAAGGCAACAAGAAGGCAGAGCTGTAAAGCTTTGCTGATGATTAGATCTGCAGAGGGCTGGACACTGGGTTTTGAGGTGGAGGGTTCATTCAGGATCTTGATGAAAGCACTTTGAGAGAAGATGTAGGGAAGTGGTCCAGTGGAGTAGAATCTATGGGAAATTAGTCCTACTACAGAAAAAAAAACAAAAACGACAAATAGCCAAAACAAGACTCAAGAGTATCATCATATTTGAAGTAATCAAAGGAGCAAAGAATAGAAACAGATAGCATGTAGGAGACAGCAGATTTTAAGGCATTGGAATTGGGCAATAAATACGATTTCCAAAAAAATGTAAACAAGCAGATGAGCACTAGAGTGTTTCGTTTGACTGTCTTGAGACACACAGCACCACAAAGATGCTAAAACCAAGCAGAGTCTTCCAGGAAGGTAGTCTTCCTATGCTGGTTTGCCTAGAACTTGTCCAGGTTCAAAAGCAAAGGTCCTGAACCCCACATCCCACATCCACCCATATCTTGGGATATGGAGATAAATGGTCTTTGTATCTGAAGCACTTGGAATGGAGCTGAGATTTCATAACACTCAGTTACCATCCACAGCAAAGACTGAAGAGAAGATGCACAAAGAACTTCAGAAACCTGACAAAGGTACTGTGGTCTTTGCAGCTGAGTGTGGATTGGAGTCTGCATGTGCAGCTGTGGGAGGCTGGGAGAGAATGTTTCCAAAGAGTCAGGCAGGGGCGCACTGCACTTCTGTGTGTGAATGTCTGGAAGTGCCTTGCTTCAGTCATGAGGAATCTCTGAGTCTACACATCCTAAAAGGACGGTCTGGAATGATTAGTGAATGTCAACTGCACCCCAGAACAAAACTCAAGATTTAGGACAACAGAAATTTATAGTGCCTGATGAGGTGAAATTCACAGTAGATGCCATCCAATCAAACTGTACCAGACATGAGAAAAATAGCATGTAAGTGTAACCTATTAGGAGAAAATGGCAAAATACATTTAGGATTGATATAAGTGCTGGATTAGCAAACAAGAATGTTAACCAGATATGATAACTGTACTCTATGTGTTCAAATAAATTATTAACAAGCATGAAAGATATATAAAGGTGCAACTTAACCACATTTGAAAATAATAATAGATAAGAAGAAACAAAAGACATTAAAAGAAGGTAAGAGTTCACAGAAGGAAAGATTAGTGACAGTGAAGAAAGACCAAATAAGCTACCTGATAGCAAATACAGAAAGAAAACAAGAATCTTAAAAAGAATTGCCCTAGTCCCTGAGAGGGCTCAGCAGGTAAGCAACCTTGTCGTCAAGCCTGATGACCTGAGCTCAGTCCCCTGAGTGCACACAGTGAAAATAAAGAACCAACTCCTATATATTGTCCACGGATATAAACACACACACGAGGGTATATATCACTCATAAGCTAATAAATAAATAATAAATGTTTTAAAAGTTTAAAATACATTATCCTATCTATCAGAGAGCTGAGTATTCAGTTTGAGAGACAGGACAGGCAAGTTCAAATGGAGAAAAAGGAGTCAAATATTTGCATAGCGGGTGCATATGCCTGGGATCAGGTCCTAGATTAGAGGTTGAAATGAATGGGAGCCCTAAATAAACTCGAGTGGTTCATTTTTAGGAACTGCAAAGAGCAACTTTCTATTTTACTTTTGCACTTCATTATTTATTTAGACATCTGAGCCCTCCCACCAGGCTTTTATAGGCTAGAGAACCCTGACAATTGATCTCCTCTACAGAGCTGTGATTATGCAGAATAAGTGCAGTGTTGAACTAACATCAGTGTGCATCGCATTTTGTTAATTTCTGAAATAAAACAAATAGCATTACATACCTCCAAAGGCATATAAAATATTAAATGTTTATTATTAGCAGAAACTTGCATTTTTACAAGAGAGAGAGAGGGAAAGTATCATTTGAAAAAAATATGCAATTGATAAAGAGCATCCATAGAAAAATGACACTATTTTCAAAATTAATTAAGAATTATTTTAGGCATAAGCTATCTCCAAATTAAAAAAATAGTTGTGGAATTAAAGGTTATATTCCATGTCTTTTGTACAAAATAAAGGCAAGACTTTATTTAAAATATTTACTGACCCTTCTCATTCTTTTTTTAGTTAAGTCTTACAAAATTATATCCCAAAGTGCTTATTTTAAATAAGTTATGTGGATTTTTTGCTATTAAATTATGAAAGTTTATTTCATATTTTAAAATGAGCCCTTCATTAGAAACTTGGTTTGGAAAAAAAGTATAATGGTGCATATTTATGAAGATACTGCATAAAATTCATTACTTTTTATTCTAACTTAAAATGTTTATTTTAAAATTTAAAACAAAAAAGAAAACACTTTTCCCATTTCATAAGTTACCTTTTCATTCATTTGCTTGTTTTCTTTTAATGCAGTTTTACAAATCTATCAATCCCCACCCCTGTGTAATCACTCATATATACTTTTATTTTTATTCCCTGTGTCACATCCAAGAAATCATTGTCAAGTCCAATCTCAAGATGATAAGACCTGACCTAAAACTATGAAGCTTCTAGAAGGGAGCATAGAGAATATACCCATTCAGTACTGAGGAATCCTTTGCCACAGGTATGGATATGTTGATTGTGAACCCATCATAGCGATTGCAGTCATGTGAAGCATTTCATGTAGTGAAACTGTCTCTCAAGATGCCTGTAGAAGAGGCTCCAAGGCACGTTAGACAAATTATGTCATGTCTCAAATTCCACCTCCAAGGTAAATAGCATCAAACCCTCTCACTGACCACAGCATTTCCCTTCTGTGGTCCCTGTTGTCACATTTTAGAATGTGGCGTTTCCAAAGAGAAAAGTTGTTTGCTAGACCTTTCATTTTATGAACTGTACTGCACTCCACATTTCACCCTCTCTTCATGTAATACTTTAACAGGCACTGAAGCCCTACTGAGCTTGGCAACATGACAGCCACGAAACAACCAAGTTCTTCATGAACCACGGTTTCCATCCGAGTTAACCAACAGCATCTATCTCATCGAATAGGAGTGCACCAGGATCCAAGAGGCTACAGTGCCATGCTTGATTTCTCCACAAGGACAGTACCACAGTTTCTTCATGCGTTTTTCCTCATATGGTAACCCCAAGCTTCTTGCATTCCCCTATAAATTACACTGAGGTCACACTGGGTAAGTTGTACACAACATGACATGTAATGTTCTTGTGTGTGCCTTCTCTGGAGTTTGAGTTATGTTTTGAGCCATGTTAGTGTAATAGAGTTATAAAAAGATTTTAAAAACTGAATACAGGATGTAAGTAAACAAGTGAACTATAAAACTCCACAAATTAATTAACATCCAGTGTTAGTTAATGACTTAAACCTCACACAGAAGCAGCCCTTCTTCAATCCAGTCACTCTAGCACAAGAGAGAGAAAAATACTGAAGTCTCTCCTCTAGGTTGGAGCTCTTGTGAAATGTTCTGCAAATTTCAACTTAACACTGTCTGGATTGGCTGCTCATGTGTGGGGTTCTCATGGACCAGTTACATATTTCAGTGGTTCTTTGTAGTCAATGACTGATGAATGTGATGTCTGACAGATATCTCCACCACCCTTCACAAACTCTGGAAATGTGGCCAAAAACAGCACAGAAAGAAATATTCAATTACTACGGTCCCTATACCCTAACAACATAGACCCCCAGACTCCCAGTGAGCAGTACTGAGGAGGAAATGGCTCTATACTGACCCATGGCATGAGAGTCAACATGCATGTTGGAGTTCAAAGCTATGTTTTCAGGAGAAGAGATTTGGCAAGATGTGGATTGTCTGCGTGCTTTGCAGAGAGAAATATAAGAATACACGTAGTGTCCTTCTCTATTATAGGTCTTTCAGATTTACTATAATATCTTCATCTATAAGGAAATGACTAGAATATCCTGGCTGAAAGATCATTAATAATCTGTTATCATGGTCTGGTTTCTGCCTACATCCTCATCATTGTCTGTTACATATTCTATCCTCATTTGCTTTACGCTGTTGCAATTCTGGTTCCTTGGTATGATTCCCAGGTGTATAATTTCCCACTTCTGCCCCTTTACTATAAGGGGCTAGTAAGATTTACAACCTATGTTCTCACTCTGATCCCAACTTTCTCCAACATGCACAGCTTCCTTCTTGCTAATGGGCATATGGTTATGATTCACGGCTTGTTTTCAAGGCCGTCCTAAATGTAACAGACCCTCAGGCCATCAGTAGAAATAAAGAGGTCAGCATTTGCCTTTACCTTTGCAGCCATCTGCCACTTAACAGACTCCCAGAAGAGGATGTCAGCATCCTTGTGTCATTGTGTGGCCTTTCCATTCATGGATTATCGAGCTCCTGCTGCCGACTTCTGTTCCAGAGACTGCCATTCAGCAATGTTGAGAGCTCTAGTCGATGGAAACTTTATTTTTAGAAACACTGCGTTTTTCTCCATTCTAAAAATAGTCCCCTACAGTTACCGTCCTAAGCTTCGTGGTTAAATTCACACAGGTGTGTATCTTTCCTTTACAGGCTCTGACTGAGACAATTCACCAGAGCTGTACAATCCATGCCAGTGATGGAAGACGAATGGCATTCCTGGTCTGACATTTTGTTCTCTGTGATATAAATTTCCATGTATACCCAAGGCCTAACAGGACAATATTTTTTAAAAATAAATAAAAATGAAAAGTAGGGACTTAAAACGACTCATCCAGCAGGAAAACAGGTTCCTGTACTTGCTTCCAGTCTCAGTGATAGCACAAGTGAATTTTCATATTAAAGTACAGGCGATAGAAGGAACTAGGGAGTCAGTTGGCTCTATAGCATGAGGATCAGAGTTCAGTCCCCACAACCCACATAAATGCCTTATGGGTGTGATGTCTCTGTAGTTCAGTGACAGGGGATCCCCAGGCAAGCTAGCTGGCCAGGCTAGGCGGAGTCATGAACTCTGAGCTCACATGAGGGACCTGACTCAATGAATAAAGTGGAGATTGATTGTAAGGTCCTATCAAACTCCAGCATCCACATGCACACACATGCTCCTATAGTCACACATATACCCCAACATGCCTGTATGCATTCAAGTATGCATGCACACCACATACATGTGCAGAAAACCAAAGTACAAGAGATGGTTCTGTCGTTTTTTTCACTGTGGTTTTTCCACAGGCGTTCCATCCATTCCTGCAGTTTAACTAAAGAAAAGAAAGAAAGGTGTGATTTTCTCTGTATGCTGGGGGAGTAGAAGGTGTGAAGGTTTAAGTGATCCCTCTTCTTTGGCAAACTCATTAGTTTTCTTCTATAATCTTCATTATCTTCATTAAAATAACATTTAGCTTCACTGTCCAGATTGGAGAGATACTGGGCTAGACTGGCTGGGCATCCTTTGCCTATAGTGGTGGCAGGAAGGGATCAGCAAGTAGTGACCAATTTACCTTTTTTATATTTTCTTTTTCAATTTGAGAGATAATTTACTTGTTAATAATAAAAAGGCAGAGAGAGACAGAGACAGAGAGATACACGCAGAGCGAAAAAAGCTGAACCGATGAGAATTTATTTTTTAAATGCTTGAAGCTGGCAACAGATCATTTTGTGGGCTTGGACATGGGTGGGGATAGTCTATCAAGCAAGACCCCAACCCAGTTTTTCACCTTTGTTTCTTTCCTTTGGGTATGGATCAGCCAAAGCTGTATGGTGCTGAACCCTATTCACAGTCAGGAAGATCTCAGTTCCAATCAAAGTCAGGGTTAAGAACACAATTACATCTACTGAGGAAATAGGGACCAGCAGCTGATATGCATCTCAAAGTCAATTTCCCTCTCTCTCTCTCTCTCTCTCTCTCTCTCTCTCTCTCTCTCTCTCTCACACACACACACACACACACACACACACACACACACACACACACACACACACACTTACACTAATGATTTACGTCAGTAACATATGGAGGTCACTCCTCTGTAAGCTTTAAAATATGTTTACTTGGATACAGGGCTTTCTAAGAACCATACGGGGAAAACCTTGATTGGTCTCCCGGCTCCAGCACCAAAAACTGCTTCTGGAAATCCCCATGGGACTTTGGAGTGAAGACCTATTCCTGACCACCTTCTGCCCTCCCCACCAGCCACATTCCTTTCCCTGAACATCTGCAATTCAGGTGCTTTGTTTCGGAATTCACTCTTTAGAAGAATAGTTTAGAAACCACACTGCAAGAAATCACAGGACCAAGCAGTAACTGGGAAACAAGAGACAATGCATACAACATTTCAGAGAAGTCATTTTACAGTTAAGGTGAGTTTCTTTGTGTGCCATCTCCTGGCATGGAATATGCACCCTGCAAAGGAGGATACTCCAGACTGGCAGACATGCAGCTTTAGGAGGTCAGTATGAACTGCTGTGAGTGTAATCAGCACATTTGCCATCTCTATCATGCTATTATGGGGCATGATATTTACATTCAGTCAAATAAGGAAAGTCCTGGTCAGAGCAATGCCTCTTGAGGTACCAAGCTGCAGTTTTGGGGTGTCACTGTTGAGAACTGAAGGCTATAAGGAAAAGCATATGTTCAGACAGCTCCACTTCTGGTCTCTTATTATTGTCCTTTCCTCCACAGCATCCTCTTTAACTCTATGCCAAATGTTCTGTCAGTTCAACAACAGACAACGAAGCTGTGAAGGAAACAGGAAGTATACCTTCTCCCAAAACTTCCCACTTAACAAACCCTGGCTGTGCCTCCCACTGTTGCCTTTGATCCTGAAAAGTCTGATCCAGTGGCTTGACTTTGCAGGCAAGTCTACAAGAGTGTCGTGAAGAATGGTCCTCTTTGTTCCCTTCCTCTTCTTCCTCATGGAAATGGACCAACAACACATGACAGAAACTCTTGAATGAGTGTAACGCACCCCATTGATCAGAGGGGCTCACACCTGCTTCCAAGAAGATAGTGTGGCTCACCCACAACCCCAACATTCTCTTCTAGGCTGAGAATCCATTTGATATCGGTCTCTGTTTTATCAAGGAAGAGAAGGTAGAGTGATGGAGAATTGTTTGGAGCTATTGAAAATGTGGGACTTCTGGTTTTCAGTGAATACAACCAAACTTTGCTGTCACTCAGGATCCTTTAATTCCTCTGTGCCCTAAACTTTTATCTTTCTCTAAAAGCTAGCTATACCCAACTTACTTCTGAAAGTCCATGCCTCATTTTCCAGGGTGTCAGTTCCATCCAGTGTTCTTGAAATTCAGGGCACTTCTATTGGGAACTTGCTTGTAAATATTTTACAGTATTTTTCATCACAAACTTCTAAATTTCTGTCTCTGAGAACTCCAAACCTAGGAGCCACACATTAACATCTTAAAATAAGGAAATCAGAAAGAACCGCACCAAATGTTTGCAGGGAGAAGTATGTTATTAAAATGTACCTTGTGCTTTGCATATTTCTGCAGAAAATAAGGAACGGACTTAGGGCATTACCTTGAAAAAAAATGGAGGAAAGCCCATAAGGTTTCTAATGAGCTAAATGTGAAAAAGTGAAATGAATTCTGTAACTTACAGTCTAATTAAAAGTATTACGGATTAATTGATGTTCTCCTAATTAAACAAATTGTCATGTTTTCCTTTTAGTGGGCAATAAATAATACGTAAATTATTATTTTATTCATGCCAGTTCTGGTTGTTTATTGTCATGTGATAAATCACTCTTACATTTAGTGGCTTCAAACATCAACCATCATGCTGTAGCAGGAGGGCTGCATATTTGAGCAGGACCACAATGGCCAGTACTGACCTGGGGTCCTCAGGAAATTGCTGTCAGACAATGTTTGGTGTTTTAAATTGGGAAATTGAAATATCTGAGGGCTAGTCAAGTAGGCGTGTCTGTCCCCCCCCCCCCCATCTCCATATCCCTCTCTCATCATACAGACCCAGAATAGCTGCATTTTCACCGAACTTGTAAATTAATTTGGTCTTTCTCTCAACTCCAATGACTTCAGCGTAGCTAAACTGCTTACATGTCAGATAGGGGCTCCAGCATGAATGTATGGTGAACAGGGAAGAGGCTTTTTCAAAACTAGTCCAGGCAGTTACAAGTTTCCAGTGCATTCGGGAAGAGGATGTGAACCCTACCTCTCACCTGGGGCTGAGGACCCAATGGTTCGGTGCTCTGTTTAAAAGCCGGTACACTCTACAGGTTATTTGAGTTATCCCCATATTCAACATGCAGCCACTCTTCTCTAATAGTCTCCACAAGTTTGAGCTCATTACTATATCAGGATCAAGTCTGAGACTGAGGATCTCATTAGAGATGTGCACAAAGTTCCTTGGCTTGGTTTCCTTGGATACAACATCTCCTCAGGTACAGTTCCGCTCCATTTTAAGATGTGAGAACCAAACTAAAAATTCTTTACCTCTAAAAGGAAAATACCGGCTCAGGATCCTCAAGACCAAGTTCTCAGCACAAAGGAAATTTATTTGCCCCAGAGGGACAGAGGCCAGGGAATAAAAGACAAAGACAAGAGATAGAGGATGAGGGAGAAGGGGAAGGGAAGAAGGGGAAAGGAGGCAAGGGCATTTGTCCTGGAGGGACAAAAGATTGCCTCTGGATAGAGAGGAGACAGGTGTGGCCCATAGGCAGCAGTTTATAAAAGTAAAATGGAAAAACCATTTTTGGTTGGGATGAGGTGTTTAATTTTAATTGGGCTTGATCCAAGGGGGAGGGAGTTGATGACTAGACTTCAATACTTTGATAGCTGGACCTTGGTAGCTGACCTCAGGAGAAGGAAGTGGCCAAATAGGGGAACAGACCTTGGAGGCCAGCTTCAGGAATGGAATCTATGGCTTAGCAGGGCAGAGAAGAAGGGGGAGAAGGGCAAGGGCTGCCATAGCCACAAGCTGCAGTAGACCAGTTTGCCTTTGACCGCCTCATGTTGTACCACTTTACAGTGTACACGTAGTTCCAAACATCATGTTGCATACAATTTCCTCAATTAATAGTTTCTAAAGTTATTGTGATACATACTACAGACAAAACTCTAAAATGGGAGAAGTGGGGGGAATCAAGGGTCTCTGAGGCAAAGTAGCTTTGAAAACTAGCTGGGCACAGTTTGTTAGGAGCAGGTACAGCTCCTGGGCTGGTTGCCTGGAGTTCTTAGCTCCACCTACAAAATCCTGGGTCTATGACTTTACACACTTCTTGCTTTCTCGAAAAAGAAGGTTGTGTGATCATCTGGTCACTTCTTGATTGTTTTATCCCTATAGAAAACTGAGGAGTGAATGTATTTTTGCATGTTATATACTCTTTATCCCCATCTGTTCACACTGGTAAAAATTATTTAAAAACAATGTGTGATTTTTATATTCCTGCCTATTTATCCCATCAGACAGAAACAAAATTCACAAACCTGTTCAAGACAAATTCTTTTCATCCTTAAGATCCACTCAGAGGAGTCTCACAGATCCCATTCTTTGGTAGGGGAAAGTCTGTCCTATTTTCTAACAGAAAAGGTATGTCCTTAAACTTTATTTCAAAAGATCAACATGATATAGTAAATGCAATTTTTTCCTGAGATATTAAAGGAATCTTACAGGCCTACCCTGGATTTGCTCTTTGCCTAAAGCCATTTCTTAATTTGAGCAATGTATCTTATAAATTTTGTCATCTAGGGAGACAAGGAATGATATCATAATTCATAGCCACTAGATACCTTTCTTCACATTTTGCTTGAAAATATAATAATTCATTTTTTTAAACTTTTCATTTATTCATGTATGTATCTTCAAGGTACGAACACACTGCTTTAGCCAGAGATACCACTTCAGGAGATGTGTCTCCTATTTTTCAATACTGTCACACAAGCTTTGTGAAGCATTTCACCAACATTTCAATGTATCTTCTTTCCTTCAACTTTAAAGGCCATTTTTCTTTACCTTATCTTTTTTAAGGTGGTATGGTCCACTCTGGTCTATCATCCAATGATAGTCTCCTCCAGGTCACACTTCTACTCACCACTGGAGCCTGTGGCTAACACCATTGTTATAAGTTTGCATTACAGTCCACTTCCTGTCACAAAATTTTGCTCTGATTTTCTGTTTACCACCGCCCCCCCCCACACACACACAATCAACTCACACTTAATGGATGAATAATATATGGATTATTTTGTGTGGCTTCGCATGAAGCTTACACATGAATGCTTGTAAATTTCATTGAAGACAACTAAGAAAGACAGTAGAAAGATAGAGACAGGTGTGTGGGTGGGTGGGGCGCATATATCCTGAAAGTTTATTTAGTCTTTTTAAATCAATATTTGCTCTGTAAACTAACCTCATTCAAAGTTTGATTTATAAAATTTAAAAACAGCCTTGTCACCCAGATTTTCTAGAAAGCAATCAATGTCTAAAGCTTATCTGATCTCTCATTAGTCCTTAAAGAAAGAAATGGAACACTTGCACTAAAAAAAAAAAAACAACAACAACAAAAAGATCCTTTCCATGTGGTACACAACTTTATATTAAATAGTTTGAATGAATGAATGAACAAATGAATGAATGAAAAGGTAGAGATTATGGGCTCAGCATAGGGGTTGCTTCTAACAGTGTGGGAGAACAGAGTAACTATCTTCTGCTAAATTCTCTCCTTGTTTTCCAAACAGAAACTTTGTCTCTCTTCACATATTTGTTGTAGTGTGCCAAGAGTGCTCTTTGGGTAGGGGCTAGAAACAACTGTGTAAAAGGTGCTCTGCTTAACAATGGCGGGCTGAGGGAAGAATCTACGTAATTAAAGGAAGATTCATCAATGCCTTCTATTTATATGTTCAACACAACACTATATAATCAGAGGTCAAATTATATGATGTCATGAGGAATGTGAGAAGTAGGAGCAAAGCCTTCATTTTGTACACAGAGACTCTTTTCATGCCTTCTAAAGTCTAGTTCCTATGACTTGAAGTTTTCATAGTTCAGAAAGTTGAAGAGAAGGGCCAGGGAAGATGTTGGTCATCACTGAAATACAGTGTGTATGTAGGTCTGCTTCTGATCACTCACATTAGGTTATCAACCAGAAATTGAAGCATGTGCTGATTAATAGAAGTCAAGAGCCATTTTAAACCCATGCTCTATTAGTCTGTTGAGGTATCACAGGTGTTTGTGATGAGCAATGGGTAGTGAAATTAAATTGCAGTGTGCATGCAGCCCAAGAGTTTTCTACCGTGGCTTGCTATATAAAGACCCATCTTAAGAAATAAGCAGTACTTTAAGTACTTAACACCTTTGTTTTTGCATAAAAGCCTAGAATTTTCATGGGCTTTTAAAATAAGAATGATGAGAGCATAAAATTAAAAAAAATTGTCCTTGATGGCCTACTGTTACAAATGTTTGCATTGGAATGCTGATTAGATGCATTTCCTTAGGCAGAAATAAAGATCTTGAAAATGTCTATATTCATCAAGATTGCATTTACTGCCTATTAATATTAAGTAGCCACAGTTTCTCCTTTGACCTGATATAATGAACACATCTTTCAGTGAGATATTTGTGTCCAGTGATAGAAAAAATTGTTTTGAATTTCAGGTCCTTTATGTGGACAAAAAGTCAATTATGTAACAGAAGAACCCTACAGAGCAGAAGGTCAGAGTTGCTTATTTAAGTCATATCATTTAGTGTAATTGACCTTAAATAGCTTGTGTTTTTAATAGGTAATGGTCAGACATGTGGATTATCCAGAGACAAGACTTTCATATGTAAGTCAATTGGATCATTAAGGTCTGATCCAAACTTTTTCGAGAAAGCAGAGATGCCAATATCCAGTAGTGTCATCTAATAAAGCTACCAACATCATTCCTGTGGTTCTTTTCATTCAAGGTGAGAATTGAATTCATAAAGACTCTCCATAGGAGACCTCATGACTGAGAAAAATGAAGACTTTATTAAGAAATAATGGTTTCAATAAGCCAAAGTTGTAGAGGCAATTTTAATGCACAAGTGTAAGTTCATTTATAGGTAGGTAAGTAGGTTCTATATTTGTTCCCCTTGAATTTGATTTGATGTAAATCTAGATGACTTCTGAAGGAAGGCTGTAACAGGAAATAAGCCAGCACCTTGCCCACTGGAACATTATGTAAGATCCCAAAGGCTGCCATACTTGGAGAAACACCTGACTATCCTGTGTAAAAGGATTGTCTAGACAATCTCAGAGTCTCTATGAAAAGAGAAGCCACGAAGACCATCAGTTAGTTGTTCCATGTGAAACTTCATCAAAGACAGCAGGATAAGCAATGCAGGCATGGCTTTCTGAAATTAGTGAGCCACACAAGTTCCCTAAGGAATTTGTTTTGAAGTGTTGAACTTAACTTGTGGAATTATGTATCTCTCCAGACAAGGACAGGTTAGATTTCTGTGGTTGTGAGAAATTACCTGAGGTAAGCAACTTGAGGTAAGGAAGGGATTTTTGTTTTTGGATAACCTCTTATGGTTTTTTTTCTGCTGTTTTGGGTCCATGGTAAGGTAGAACATCACAGCAGGAAGCTTGTGGTGAAGAAAAGTGGCTCACCTTAACAGTGGGGGAGCAAAGAGGAAGGTTAGCCAACATTGGAAAGAAAGAGTGTGAGAGAAACCTGTTCAGACAAGAACAAGGGTCTAACACACAGTATATCCTTCAAGGG